CTGCTGTCTCCTCCCTGACCTTGTTCTTTGTAACTGTGGCAATGAAGATTTATTTTAAATATCTGGAAAGCAAGCCAGCACAACTTCTGCACAGAAATCAAAGACAACTGGGTTTATCTAGCATTAATTAACTAGCAAGGGGTGTAACATGTAACAACAACTAATCATGTTAACTAGCTAAACATTATATAATGTGTAACTAATTATTTAGCTAACATTACAGCATGACTCAACTTACATGGTTTGTTTGGTAAAAACTGTGCGAAGTTTTAGTTGCTCTTTACACCGTGAGGCTCTGCTCAGAAGGGCAGGTGGTCAGAAGAACGTCTCCTATCCGTCCTCTGCAGGAGTAGCTTGCGCACGCTTATGGTGCGTTCAAAGACGGCTCAGGAAAATGCAAAACCAAATGTTAATAATGGATAAAACAGCTGTAACGGCTGAGAAAAGTGCGGGGGACATAGAGCACAGATGCAGGAAGTGTGGGGACTCAGGGAGACATGTCTCACGCATATCCCGCATCCGTTATGTCCGTGCCTTCACTGCCCAGGGCCTTTTTGGAGACCATGGGCACCTGGGCAATTGCCCAATTGCCCATATGGTTAATCCGGCCTTGCTCTTACCCAATAGTAATTACTTAGACATCATCATCATGATCTGAAATATAAAGCACAATGTTTTCGTATTCTTAAACTAAATTGGAGTTCATTAATGATATTTAGGATTATATTCATAACTACTGTTTAATAAAGGTTTAAAAAAACAGTTTGGACTCATGATTTTGTAGGGTATTTGCTTGTTTTCCCTACTCTTTGTATCATTCTGTTTGTCATTAAATACAATTTAGATTTTTTTTTTTTATTGTCATAGAGTTATACCAAGGTCGCATTTTTACATGACGTTATTTTTAAAATTCGGTCAAGGAACGTTTGCATAACAGTTTGATTACCCGAAGTTTCCCTTTAGAAAAGAGGAGGCAGAGGAGACGCCCAGGCGGAGACTTCTCGCTTCAAGCTGCCTGAAATCACCAACTTGCCAACCGGAACAACCAGATGTGAAGAAAAAAAAGTATCTGTTCATGTTTAAAATGTCGAAACGTTTGAATTAGTTTTTGTTATTCATCTATATTTTGTCATTATATAATCATGTTCATGATATGTTTTTTCTGTCTAAAGTTTTTAGCTTGTGTGAAATTTAAATTCTTCATGGCAAATATAATTGTATTGTACATGCAAGAAGCACATAGTGGTTTTGACCTAAAGTGTAGCCATACATGTTGCGCAAGAAGTAGTTAAATCTATAATTATTAAAAGTTAAATATTTACGTGGTCATTTGTTTGAGCAAAAACAAATTTTGTGTTGATATCCACTTTAAACTCGAGATAAAGCGTTATTAAGGTTTATTTTGAAAGGGTTAACAGGAAAGTGTAACATCGCTAACGGTTGACTTGACAGCTTCGTCAGGACAGGTGGAAGCTCCGGTTTGACAAGCTGCTGTTGTTCTCGTAACAAAAGGGAACCGAACCGGAGAAGAGCTTGAATTTCGCTCTGGAAAAAGAAGCATGGACGATAATTTACCTCAAACATATGCAACGATGTTTTTTCGACTTTCAGGTGAACAATGCCCTACCGAGTAAAGAAATTTTCAAAAGAAAACTGCGGGGTCATAGTTATTGGGAGCGGTAATTTGACCAGGTAAGAAATCGCATTTATCGGTGTTGAAATTGTTTGATTTATTTCAGTTTGAGATTTCTTGTAATATTTTTGGATTCTTTGAATTTACAGGAGAAGTCGGTAAGCAAGCAGGAAGTGGCACTCAGTCACTGAGTATTCAGTATTGTCACTTCCTGCTTACCTACATTACTTTTTAGACAGACAGACATAAAAAAATCAACTGTTCTATATGTAAAAATAAATTGTCAGATCAGTGACAGTTTATGCACATATTTACCATTTTCCCCATGAGAAACACTAGTTTCACATAAACCTGGATTAGACTGATAAAAAAATATGTATGGGACAGTATTAGGTCTGGTTTATATGTAGTACATTTGATTTTCAAAGCTTTAGTTTTCTTAGACATGTAAAATCTAGATTGGACTTATACTAAACCAAACTTCTGGGAGGTTCTCTTCAAACCATGTAAAATATTTAATGGAAAAAAAATTAATGGACTAAACTTGGACTGCATGATAGAAAATAAAATATCTATATTTTATGTTAGATTTTTTTTAATTCATAAAATATCATGTAAGAAGACATGTTTTTTACGATTAAAGGTAAAATATTTTTTCCCTTTTTTTTATAAATTCTAAAGTCTTTTAAATGAAATCTGTGGAACATAGTCCTGCATTTATTGTTCCTCAGTTATACTTTGACTATAAATATATTTATTCTTTTAAAAGCAACGTAACTATAGTGTGGTATTTTAAAGTCCTCAGATGTTCTTTGAGACAGATCTAGAAATGCTCTAGATATGTCTGTCTGTAATACATCTCAAAGAGGTGAGTGTTTATGTTGGAAATGCTGGAGAGCGTTAAATGACTTAACAGTGAGAAAAAAATCACAGGATGAGCAGAATTTCATAGTTTTTTTAGTTTGTTTATTTCGTGTTTTGTTTAAACAGCTCCATTAGCCAATAATTGTTGACAGGTAATTGAACAGAGTGTTGAATTGTAAGCTGTAGATGAAACTCTTCATCATTTGGTTGTTAAATGTACAGCAGTCCCAACTCTCATTTCCTTATCTTTCAGATATGGCAGCTGATGACAAGGTTGCCATCTTGACAGACGATGAGGAAGAGCAGAAGAGGAAGTATGTTCTGGACGAGCCATTCAACACCCTGTCCATAGTGCAGCAGGTGGGTGAGTCAACACTTGTGCCACCTGAACAACTGCCGCCCCCGCAACCAGACCCTGTAGACTGCTGCGAGAGAATGTGCCTCCAGATTAACAGCCACCTCCTTGTCTCCAAAGTCTTCTACTTCTTCTTCTATGCTGCCTACGGCTCACTGCACCCCCTGCTGGCTGTTTACTACAAACAGCTTGGAATGTCGCCAAGCCGCAGCGGCCTGCTCGTTGGCATACGGTACTTCATTGAATTCTGCAGCGCACCCTTCTGGGGTGTGGTGGCAGACCGATTTAAGAAAGGGAAGGTTGTCCTTTTGTTTTCTGTTTTCTGCTGGTTGGTGTTCAACTGTGGCATTGGCTTTGTCAAACCAGTGGCAATAAAATGTGAGGAGAAAGGAGTGTCTCCACCAACATCAACACCACTGACGACAACGCCCCCTCATGGTAACTTGACAATTTCAAACAACTCCAAAAGCCACACCAGAAATCAGAGGAGCGTCACAGACCTTCCTAAGTTTACAGACGTCCCTTACTCCTTTAGCATTTTACATCAATATGAACGAAGTGCTGAAATCAACACATCAGCTCCCTTCACACAACCCAACACCACTGAGCTCACACCAAACTCCACTGTATCAACAACTACCCCCCCTGCTTCGACTTCAAAGGAGTACCACATAATCTACAACCAGGACCAGGTGGAGAGCATCTTCCTGCTTATCTTGCTTGTCATCATTGTGGGTGAGTTCTTCAGTGCACCTGCTGTCACCATCGTGGACACCGTCACCCTGCAGTATCTGGGAAAATCCCGCGACCGCTACGGCCTGCAGAGGATGTGGGGTTCCCTGGGCTGGGGTCTGGCCATGCTGCTGGTGGGAATCTGGATCGACCACACACACATCACAGTCCTAATTGATGGCATCGGCTGCGTCCTGCCAGATTACCGCCTGCACAACTACCAACTTGCCTTCATCGTCTTCGGTGTGCTGATGGCAGTTGCCTTCATTGTGGCCACTCAGTTTTATTTTGAAAAAGGAGGCGAGTACCGTCAGGAGCTGCCAGAGATGGTACAAGACTCCACAAACCATCAGGCATCACCTGAATCCAGCTCCTCAGACCAGATTCCACCTGACTCTGATGGTAGCCAGGAGTTTCACTATGGCGATCTGCTGAAGCTGCTGTGCACAGTGCGCTACAGCTCTGTCCTCTTTGTCGCTTGGTTCATGGGCTTTGGCTATGGCTTCGTTTTCAGCTTCCTGTACTGGCACCTGGAGGACCTGAAGGGGACCACCACACTGTTTGGCGTCTGCTCCATCTTAAGCCACATCTCTGAGCTTGGAGCTTATTTTACCAGTCACAAGTTTATTGAGCTTGTGGGACATGTCAGGTAAGAATATTTCTGTACAAATATGATGACAATAAAACATGTACAAAACGTTTTTAAAGCAATGCTTAAGATCAGACTCTATATAAAATTATAGTAAATTATAGTAAAAAACATAATTTTTACTACTCATCTGACACTAGAACAATTCTCCAGTCAATTTTTGAAAGGTTTTGATACAAAAAAGACACCAAAGATTCAGTATAAATTGTAAACGACAAACATTTGGCTGATGGAGATTTTTTTTAACCATTCATAAATGATTATAATTTTTTTTAAATTCATGGATGCAGCATTTTCCTCATTGATGAGGAGAAAAACCATTCGACTTCTCTGATGGAATGGACATTCATTAGTTAAGGTCCCTTTGATGCCCAAGTATCAAACATGTTTAAATGCAATATTTGTTTTATATTTTAACCAAACAACACTAAATCTCAGACTGCATCTGATTCACATGCTGCTGTGTATCAGAAGAGTCTGGATTCTGATTTGATTCAATGACTATAACTTCTCTCCAGTTAATAAAACAGAAAATACAACAAAGAAGATACAAAAGTTTCAGTGTCACTGTTCCTGTTTAAACAGTTCTATTTTTGGCATGATGGTATAGTAAAAAACATGTTTCTGCCTTTTTAATAGTTTTTTTCCCATCAAATTCAAGATGAGCTGAAATTTTCATTGTGAATGCCTTCTTAGATTTTCAGGTCACCAGTTTTTAGGATGATGTGTCGAGGTTGAAAATGTCCCTGTACTGGCAACACGGGTTGGTTTAATTCCTGTTTGGTCAGAAATGTTTGGTGCAGCTTGAAGAACATGTACACTGGTATGGTGGTAATTTTACATCTGTGACACAGAATGTCAATGCAGCTAAGTAATTTACAATATATGTATTTACTGGAGTTCATGGATGCTTCGGCAGCTGCATTAAGGCCCTTTCCAGGGTATCCGCGGGGTTGTAAAAAAAAATTTGTCAGGACACATCTGAAAAAGAACAGGAGACGATATCAAAGCTGGGTGATTGTTAAAAGTCAGAAAAGATAAACCTGCAGAAGGATTACTGACTCCACCACCTGAGAGGAGACGTGTGTCGGTGGATGCTAGCTTTAGCTGGAGCAGAGCGGGTGCAGCAGGTGAGGAGATTAAAGTGATGACATTTATAAGAATGACCCAGGAGAAAACATCAATCAACAGGTGTGTGTTTACTGGAACAAACTGACACACACATTAACACTAAAACAGCTATATTTGAACAAAACAAAAGTAAATTAAAGCTGTGTCTCAGATTTTTCCACTAAACTCTCATGGAGGGCATTCTCTATGAAGAAGTCAGTTTATGTGTTTGTAGATAAATATGAGCTAATTTAAATCCTACACTGTATTAAAGGGTTTTGGGAATTTGAGCTAAAATTTTTATTTGGGATAAGACTTTATGTAAATTAATGCAGGATCACATGAAACATAATTTCCAGTTCTCACGTAGATTCATTTGATTTGGTTTGTTTAGTAAGTTTTCATTATTTTTCAATTATAGTTTTTAATTGAAAATATTTTTAGCTACAAAAAAGTTTATAAATTGGGATTTTTTGCAGTTTTGATAAATTTAAAAGGTTATATTTGAAAGCTATTGCAGGTAACCCTCTGCTCAGTATGAAAAAAAATGAAAACTGATTTTTTTTTAAAATAAGTTGATTGATGAATCCTTTACATTCGTTCTTTAGCTGGTATTGTCAATGTATATGCAGATAAAAGATGGAGATTGTGAGGGTAAAACTGTGTGTGGTGGTGGTGGGGTGATAACACAGCTGGACCGTTAATTCTCATGTTCAACAAAAGTTTTAATACATGTTTAAAAAACAGATGGACATACACAGATGTTATTTAGAGGATGGTTGTGTGACATCAGGGTATTTTGGTTCTGAGTTCCTGGAACATGCGAGAGCAGATGACCTGTTGCTGATAGCACTGCTCTTCCTACACATAATGAAAACACTTGCCTTGAATTTAGGGTTAAATAACAAATAATTGTAGATCAGAGGCAGTAGATTAAGACAAAGAAATAACTATGTATCCAGTAACTTTAATAATAGGTTGAAGCAGTTGCTGCTACAGTTTCAACTTGAAGTCGTGTTGGTATTAAAAAACATTGGGATGGTATTAAAAAGGTATTAAAAGGTATTAAATTTAAATTCAGAATTTCTGTATATACCCTGCTTTCACACCAGATAACTTATGCCAACTTATTAAGCATTTTTATGTCTAAATTGCTAATAAAAGTTATATATTTGATCAATTTGTTTGAATTGCAGTATGTACACGCCAAAAAGTAGCTTCCTGCGGATTTTTTCAATTCCTTCTTCAATGTATGTCTTTAAAATGTTCATAAGATGGCATAGGTTGTCTAATGTGACAGGGCCTTTAGAGCCTGGCTGTAGCAGTTCAGAGACAAGCATTGCTCTTTGAGACAAAGGCGCCACTAATGCTCTGCATTTCTATGTCAGTGAACGTCGACATCTGAGCACAAAGTATCAAATGTTAGGCTGCTGGAAGCTCTGAGTCAAGCAAGAGGGGAGCATCAGTGCTTTAAAATGGACTTATTTTATTGCGGTATAACACAAGAGACACTAGACTCACTGCTGTGTTTTTAGGGCCCTATGAAATCTGTTTTATTATGACCCCCGCACGCAAAGCGTAAGCGGGGGTATTTTCATACGGTTTATTTTTTCTTTTTTTTTTTTTCAGTGATTTTTGGTCAACCGTACCACAAAAACGGCTGCACCGATCAACATGAAATTTGACAGAATTGTAGATGAGTCTGACCTACGCTGCGCCAGCCAACGGTTTTACGATAGACCCCATTCAATGTTCAAAATTCAATGTTCTTTGCTTATTCAAGATAATCCATCACAATCTTCACCAGCGTATCTCTGTTGTTAAAACAATTTACCATAAAAAGGTTATTTTCATCCAGCTGGAGATACGGTCCTGAGCAGTCCAGTCCTTGCTCTCACTCATTTCAGTCCACCTGCAATGTGGCCTTGGTCCGTCGATCTCCTAGTGGTCTCTGCAACAATGCCAAACTGTTATGGCAATATTTATTTAACAAAGACAGAAATATGTGGTCCAAGAATGAAGGTACTCCGTGAGATGATCAGCTGAGTTTTATTGCAACAACAGGAAACAGAGAACAACCTGCCCTGTCTCTGTGCCTCTGCTTCTCTCTGTCACTGTGTCTCTCCACTGTGTCTGTCACTCGAGAGGCCTCATATACAGTATATA